GGGGCACATCTTTGTCCTGTGACAAGACTCAATCAGCAGAGACCACCCAGAGTCAAATATGGCTCATCAGACTGGGCCATACTGCCTGCTCTCTCTGGCAAACAAAATCCCTGATTTACTTTTAAGTAAATTGGGGGGACACAGGAGAAGGGAGTTCCAAAGGTGTTGCATAACCAGTAAGCTATGTCTAGCCTACCAAGGTTAACTGTTTGATTAATAGTTCTTAATCACCTGATTATGTTGTAAGATTTGTATTCTAAAGAATTGACAGTACAGTCTTACCTCTAAACCTCGTACTAAAGAATTAGTTGTTTGGTTTGAAGGACAAATGCCTAAGAGTCTTCAAAAATGCAAAGGCCGGCTTATCTTAGAAGAATCATTTCTCCTTGCTCTTAATGATGGAAATTAAACAGGTAGCCTGGTATGAGTTATTGTCCCATGGTTTAATCTCATTGTACAGGTGTGACTGTAACTCAAATCCCTTCTCAGAAAAGACTTCCCAGTTCCTTTGTCCCCAGGTGGCTTTTCCATGGATGGTAAAGAGGAAAAGCAGACCAACCAGAGCCTTAGATAGAGACAGGTGTCAGTGTTGGAGCCTAAGGGGACACCAAAGTGCTTGCAAATGAATGCTGACGTTGTCGTTGTTTCCTGGCACGCAGGCCTGTGTATCCCCAGCCACTTATCAGGGTCAAGTTGACTTAAAATATCCTTGGGAAGGACCATGGGGAAGTCAACACAGCCGTGCTAGACCATGGTTATCAAGCCTGCTATTTCCATGGTCGTAATAGGGAGATTTGGAAGTCCAGAGAAATCAGTTTCCTTTTCTAGGCCTCAGAGGCAAGTGTCAGATTGTATCTGTAGGGACAAACCCCAAAGCAGCAGAACCCTTCTCAGAGTTCTGGCTGCTTCTCCAGTGTGAGGGATCATCTGGGGCTCTGCTCAGTGGAGCACATGTCACGTAGTACTTTGCCTTCTGCAAAGGAGCAGAGAGAATCCTTTGTTGGACTTCTGGTGTGAAAGGTTATCTCTGTGCAGCCACCAGTGAAAGGTAGGAAATGTCATCTCTGACTTGTATTTTATTTTCTACACCTCATAGCGATAACTAAGTAATCAGTAAATGCCAGATGTTCTTGCATTCCCAGCCCTGTGTAAAGTCCTTAACACCACTCTTACTAGTTCATAGATGAAGAAAGGCTTCGAGAGCGGTTAGGTAACTTGTCAAAGGTCACAGAGTCTAAGTGGCAGAGTCGTGATTTGAATTCAGTCTGACTCATCAACTTCCCTTGTAGCTTCCCAAAAGCAGGTCTGAAGAGCCAAGCCAGCTAGAGTGACACCTGTGTGTTCTCCCGTGACTAGAACCTCGAGCGTGGCATCTGAATGTGCGGTGCACGTTACAATAGACCAGGAAACCCTCACAGTCAGCACACATGTGCTACCTTAGAATTAACCGGATTCCTTAGTGGCTAAGGACTGATTAGTTGCCCATGTGAGTGACGCATACCACGCTACCATGACCTGTTAAGCCTTGAGTATGAACAAATGTATTTTAGAATCATGTTTTAAATAACCAAACCCTTACGTTTATAGTACTTTGTAAATTATAGTTTTTATATGTCTTGTTTTTTTAAATCCACATAGCATGGCAATTTTCTATAACTATTTTTAGATTGTTACTTTACGTGTATGAGTGTTTTACCTGCATATGTGTCTGAGCGTCACGGAAGTGCCTGGTGTGCATGGAGATGAGAGGTCCCTGGGACTGGAGTGACGGCTGCGAGCTGATGTTGGTGCTGGGAATTGAACCGTACGCCCTGTGCAAGAGGACGCGCTATTAACTGCGGGGCCATCTTTCCAGCCCTGCGTGGATTCCTAATGAGAGAAGTTGGGTGACGTAGCTAAGATTGAGCATGTCTGACAGAGCTGGCTCACAGACCAGGCTTCCCGACTCAGACGGCACCAAAACACCTAAGCACCCCCCACACACACACCCTCCGCTTTTTTTTTCTTTCTTTTGAGACAGGGTTTGTCTGTATAGACCAGGCTGACTTCAAACTCAAGGAAATCCACCTGCCTCTCTGCTTCCTAGTGTTGGGATTAATGTGTGAGCCACGACCGCAGGGTTTACTTAGCTTTTCCTCAGTGTTAGGTAGTGGCATTTTGTGTTTTATACTACAGCCTTTCATACGTTCCTAGAGATTTCAGCATTCTGCAGAAAGGGGATTTATTGGTTCAAAACTCTGGGCATCCGTATTTGTTTTTGTGTTTGGACTGTTTTCTGCCTGGGTCCTCCGCATAGGGAGGCACTGTCATTGCGTTAGAGTTAGATGTGCTTGTAAGCATTGGGAGTAACTTCCGCATAGTCCAGTTTCCTCTTGGGGATGAGGAGTTCTCTGAGGCCAGAATCTTGCATCACTGGTTGCCAAATGTGCCCGTAACTCCAGCAAAGCACTGTGGTTTCTGGGTCCTCTTGCAGAAAACTGGTTTCAAACAGACTCCTGGAAGTTGGTGCTGTTAAGGCACCAGGTCCAGATTAAAATCACACCCTCTAAGTAAAGCACACTTTGTATTTTTAGATGGTTTTGAGAGCTGAAAACTGAATGTCCATTTGTGATACGGTGATATGTGATATTCCTGATTGAAAGGCTAGTAATTGACATTTTAAGCATGCTGTGTTTTGTTAGTAGCAGGCAGGAGAGAATAACTCCAGAGGAATGTGGATCGCTTGCGGCTAACCAGGACCTGTTCATCTGGTTAGTCTCTGTTTCGTGGTCTTGAGAAAAGGCCTTATTCTTGGATCCCAGTTGGCTAACTTGAATCAGGAGGATTCAGACTTTTAAATCTAAACTGAATCTAGTGATTGGCATAAAATAGGAGTTTAAAATGTCAGTGGTCATCAGTTGCCCCCTGTTGACTCGCCAGCAGCTGTTATTTCCTGAACTGGTGTAGACATGTCTGTGTGACAAAAGATTCACCCAGCAAGCAGATCCTTGAGGATCCTGTCTACCAGTAGCCAGGCATTGCTTTTACACTGTTAGGCCCCATGCTACCTGAGCTTTGCAATGTTAGTAGACAAGAGATTTTTGTGTAAAGATGTACTTCAGAGGCGGTCTGATGAGGTAGATTTCCAATTTTTAAAAGATTTATTATATTTTAAATTGTATATAATACATGTTTGTGTCGGGAGAGAGTATGTACACGTGGATTCCAGAAGGCAGCACTGGATTCCCTGGATCTGGAGTTACAGCTATGAACCACCCAGCATGGGTGACTGGGAGCTGAACGTGGGTCCTCTGAAAGAGCACTGTGCCTTTGTAATCACTGAGCATTTTCTCCAGCCCTCCTTTTCTTCTTTTTAACATTTCGTGGGTGTGGTGCACTAGTGTGCATGTGTGTGTGTGTGCGTGCACGTGTGTGTGTGTGTATCTTTCTATAGCACACCTGTGGAGGTCAGAGGGCCACTCCTTTCACCATGTGGAGTCCAAGGCTCGAACTCAGGCTGTCAGGGTTCGGTGGCAAGTGACTTTACTCAGTGAGACATCTCACTGGCTTGGGTTCCCAAATTTCAGTAAACTTTGTGGATATTTTGCAAGTGTTCACTACCCACACTTTGATCCCAGTCATTCATCTTCAAAAGTTGTATTTCATAGAGACTGGTTTTATTTGCCAAGGCTATTTGGAGGATCCAGTCAATTTAGATAAGAAATCTGAATTGTCCTTCAGTTTTAAAGGTTAGTTTGGTTTCCCCATCCCCACAGTTTCGTTCCAGGCTCTCTCCTAGGAGAGACATCTGTTAGGAATTGTAGCACAAATAATAAAAACCCAGAGACAGATATTGGGGTTCAACCTGAAGATTAGAAAAGCAAAGCAGCCAAGCCACTAGAAAGCTCTTACCTCTAAGAAATCCTCGGACTGAAAGAGCGATCCTGCCTCCAGGAATTCTCGGGATGAGACTAGGCTGAGAGCTGTCTCTTCCATCTTAGATTCCTCTCTAGTGCTGGGATTAAAGGCCTGCACCACTACATCCTTGCTTCTGTGGTGAACTAGTGTGGCTACTGGGATTAAAGGTGTGTGCCACCACTGCCTGGTCTGTAAGGCTGACCAGTTTGGCTCTCTCTGATCTTCAGGCAAGCTTATTTATTTAAGACACAAATAATACACCACTATAGGGAATGCTATTTCTACCAAGACTTTAACTTGCAGACCCAGCAGCCAAAGCCAAATGTCTGAAAAGATATCAGAAGGTTAGCCACTCTCTGATTAGTCAGGGTATTGTGTGGTCAGGAAGCAGGGTCAGGGCCTGTCTTTAGAAATAAAGCAAGTGTGGTGTCGACAGTAAATACTGGAATTTAAAGGTTTAGCTTACTTTTCATTATGTGTGTGGGGCTGTGTGTGGCTGTGTGCATGTGAGAGCAAGAAACCAGAGAGGCCAGAGAAGAGCGTTGGATCCCCTGGAGCTGGAGTTACAGGCGACTGAATCACCCAGTGTGGAACTTGAACTCAGGCCCTCTGCAAGAATAGTGCCTGCTCTGAACTGCTGCGCCATCTAGCCAGCCTTGATCTCTAACTTAGCCTTAGTTTCTCAAGGTGGAAAGGCAACTTTTGGATCTCACATTTGGTATTATTGCTGGGGCAGTGGATCATTTTGGAGTTTCAGGTTGTTGCCAAGAGGCACTGTTCTCAAAGGATGTTCTCAGGGTGTTCTGCTTTTTGGCTGTGGATGAGAAGAGGAAGAAAGGTCCAAGGCTTGGGAAGATGAGTCATAGATGTGGGAAGAAGTAAAAGCTGGATGCGAAGTCTCCCTCCCACAGGCTTGCCGGTGTCCAGGGCCTGTGTGATAGGGCAGGCGAGAAGTTGGAATCACTGACTTTGCCTTTTTTGCTGTACTTTCAGACCCGGATGCAGAGTCTACAGCCTGACCCAGCGGCCCGCTATCGAAACGTGTTGGAGGCCCTCTGGAGAATTATAAGAACAGAGGGCCTGTGGAGGCCCATGCGGGGGCTGAATGTCACAGCAACAGGCGCGGGGCCTGCCCACGCCCTCTATTTTGCCTGCTACGAAAAGTTAAAAAAGACATTGAGTGATGTAATCCATCCAGGGGGCAATAGCCATATTGCCAATGGTATTGAGCCTTCCTGTGCTGGTCCCCCACTTTCCCAACTCTCTGGGCTTTGCTGCTGTCAGTGCTTCCCAGTCTCAGCATGGTTTGGAGCTGCAGCTTTGGGCTGGGGTAGGCCAGATTATAGGGGAGGGACTTCCAAACCTGATGTGCTCCGACAGCAGGCTGCTTCAACCCCACTCCTCCTTTGGGGCACCTCAACAAAAGGTCACAGTATCCTCCCTTACCTACCAGCTTGACTTTGCTCTCATCTCCCTGGCATCACTTCTAATGCCTGGTAATGTGGAGACACACTGAACAACCCCACTGTATGTTTCTTGGTAGTTGGGTGGTGTCCTGCTTCTCAAGGAAGATTTAATGGAGTCCCAGCTCTTCACCTTTTCAGGATCCTGCCTGATCAGAGGACATGACAAAAGCCTTGATAAGTGAATGGGGGTGGGGTTAAGGGACCGTTTGGAGAATCCAGATGTTTTAGAGTTTGGGTAGAAATAAAAGAAAGAAATAACAGGACTGGAGAGATGGCTCGGAGGTTAAGAGCATTGCCTGCTCTTCCAAAAGTCCTGAGTTCAATTCCCAGCAACCCATGGTGGCTCACAATCATCTGTAATGGGGTCTGGTACCCTCTTCTGGCCTGCAGGCATACACACAGACAGAATATTGTATATTGTATACATAATAAATATTTAAGAAAGAAAGAAAAAGAAAGAAAGAAAAATGAACAGCCTAGGGTTTGAAGATTGTAGAGAGCAGCAGGGTGTAGTGATTCAGTACCGAAAGAGAAGGTGTGGATGGACAAACGATAGGTTTAGACACAGCATGGGCAGTTTACATTCCCCAGGGTAGGAAGCAGGTTAGACTGAGGCCTTGGCTACCTGGCTCCATTCTCCCTGTGGTGGTGGGCCATGGCTGTGCTGGCATGCCTTGCCAGAAGTGTATCTGCCTCCTGCCAGGGCATAACTGTTTTTCTTAGAATCCTCTGTACTGAAGACATCTGGGATGTTGTCTTTGCCCTTCTGGGCCTTCCCATCAGAGGTGGAATGGGTAGTGATGGCCTTTTAAAGCTAGGGGTGTGTCCTTTCGGGGGGCAGGAGCTCAGGAGCAGTGGGATCTGAAACCACCTCTTGGGCTGACTCCTAACATGCCTTTCCTCACTGCTGTCCCAGCCACTCACTTTTACCTGGGACCTCAGTGACTTGCTCACTCTCTTGGCCTTACATGTGGCAGTTGTTTTTCTTGTTTGCAGGTGCAGCCGGATGTGTGGCAACATTACTTCATGATGCAGCCATGAATCCAGCGGAAGGTAAAGATTTCTTTAACCCATCCTTCTGGGCAGCTACATCTTCATGTCTATTTCTACCTTGCAAAGAAAACCAGAACACAATTTTTGTGGGGAGTCCTCTTATTTACCTTGATATACCACTAGAGGGCGCGCCTTCCATATGGTCTGTGCTTGAGTGGACTCTGGTTGAATCAACAGTCTCTGGGATTTAATTCCTCTTTGAGGCTTTCCTGGAAAAAGCAATGACTGTTGGCTTAGTCCTGGGCTTTCCTAGAAGTCTCCTTTATGGTATATTTGATCTCTCTAATTTGTATAAAAGTATTTCATGTTTCTCAAAAAAGGTAGATTTTTAACATTTTAAAATTTAAAGTATTACATTTCTTACTGCAATGTAGACAGAGGTGAAAGATTAAACTGTGTAGTTTAACCCTTTCTTTGCTACTAGGGTATTAGCTTTTTAGGTGGGGGGAAATTCTCCAGAAACACCCTGTGAGAGTTGAGGCGATTGCAGATGTGAGGGACTGACGTAGCTGCCACATTCCTTCAGTCCACTGTCTTTACGTCTGCAAGGCCATGGCATGGACAGGGCTAGAGTTAGCTAGAGGTGCACAGGAAATCTGCGCTGTCCGCCTAGCAGAACGGGGAGTGTTTAGAAACCGAAGCCAGCACTTTCGGAATAAGAATTGTAGTTTCTTCTTGGTAGCATTTATTTTTCCTCCCTTCTCAATTTTAAGAGTTCATACCTGAGGAATGGAACTGGTGCTCAGTTCATCGCTGTGTTCACTGCCGCTGAGTCATCTATTGTTGGGAAAGGCTAGGATAGTAAAAATAGACAGGCCAGGTCTTTTCACGGAGACTCTGGGGTTACTAAACTAACTATACTGAGTATTAATTGCTTGGCTTTAAAGAAATCCTACAGAGAATGGGTTCATTTTTCTTTTTCTTCTTACTAACCCTCTGGCTACCCTCCCTCCTATAATAAGACAAACACAAACTCTTAGATTAATAGGAAACTTCCCTCAGCCTTTTTCTCTTTCCTTTCCATTGGCTGATCTGCGGACTGGGAACCCTGATCTGGATACTGTGTCACTGACTGGTTGCTGTTCCCATTTTCCTCCTCCTGCTCCTTGATGGCATTCCCAGTGGTCAAGCAGAGGATGCAGATGTACAACTCACCATACCACCGAGTGACAGACTGTGTACGGGCAGTGTGGCAAAATGAAGGGGCCGGGGCCTTTTACCGCAGCTACACGACTCAGCTGACCATGAATGTTCCCTTTCAAGCCATTCACTTCATGACCTATGAGTTCCTGCAGGAGCACTTTAACCCCCAGAGACGGTACAACCCCAGCTCCCACGTGCTCTCTGGAGCCTGTGCAGGAGCGGTAGCTGCCGCTGCCACAACCCCACTGGACGTTTGCAAAACACTGCTCAACACCCAGGAATCCCTGGCTTTGAACTCAAACATTACAGGACACATCACAGGCATGGCTAATGCCTTCAGGACGGTTTATCAAGTAGGCGGGGTAACTGCCTACTTCCGAGGGGTGCAGGCCAGGGTAATTTACCAGATCCCCTCCACGGCCATTGCATGGTCTGTGTATGAATTCTTCAAATACCTAATCACAAAGCGACAAGAAGAGTGGAGGGAAGGCAAGTGAAGAAGGGACACCGAATGGACCAGGGTCCCACAGCGCGGCTGCATCCCGCCCCCTCCAGCATGGTCTGTGTCTCCTGGCACCATCCAGTCGCAAGTGGAGCTGGAAGAGAGGGAGAAAGCTCTCTCCAGGCTCTGGTTGGCTAACACTAGTTCTCGCCAGCTTCTGTCGCCACCATCGTCTTTTCTCCTGGGCCCTCAGCAAGTTCAGAAAGCCCACCGCAGTACCTCTGATGACCTACATCCTGGACCTGGCGACCTACCTGCTCTCGACAGCTGCAGAGGGATAAGCAGCACATTCCCCTGGTTCCTAATTAAAAAGAAAAAGTCTTTAAACGTTGTGTTGGGTTTGTCTTGCCAAAAGGGGCATGCAATGCTGTCAGCCATTCCCTGACTTGAAGTGTAAGTCAAAGGGAGGGTTGCGTATGTCTGGTTTTCGTTTCTGCTGACTTGATATGATTTAGGGGTACAAGGCCCTACTTCCCTTGACCAGTCAGCTTGAGTCTCCTAGATGCCAGGAACACTGGGCTTTTACCTGCTGTTCACACAGCAGGTGCCTCGTCCCACCCATGCCACCACCAGGGCACAGAGTTCCTGATCTCTTGGTCTGGTTCTGGGTTCTGCCTGAGCCATGAAAGTTTACACGTGGCACTTTGTTTCCTAATGTAGTTGCAGAATTAAAATTATTCATTGAAGCTGCAAGTCCCAAAGTTGGTGTGACAAGACTTCATTTGATTTCTAATTTTTTAATGGTTATTTTGATACTGGGGCTTGAGCCCAGGGCCTCCCGAATGCCAGGCATGTGTTTTACCATGGAGAATCATCAACAGCCTACTTGAATGTTTTACAAGGTACTTGAGCCTATATGATCTCATTTAGTTCTGACAAAGTGATGAAGTGGGCAGTGCAAGTACCGCCTCCTTTTGACTGACAGGAGCCCAGGGAGGCCGTGACTTACCCAAGGCCTCACTGTAAGTGCAGAGCAGAGACTGGCCAGGATAGTTTATCCCATGAGTGAATCTAACTGCAGATAGGAAATTAGTATCATGGGGCACTGTAGCTGGAGACACTCCATCTGCTGTCCGTGTGGACGCTGTCTGGAGACCGAGGCAGGGCTGGATGGAGTGGGTCCAGTATCCTCTATCCGCAAGTTCTTTGGTATGGACCCATCATCTTTTCATTCGTTATTCAGAAGCAATTGAGTGTCTCAGGTGTCCCTAACTGGTCTAGAGATTATTTCTAGAGAAATTATATGTAAACAGACAACTAGAAGACAGATGAGTGTAGTTTAGCATACTCCTAGAGGACGTACGAATTGAAGTTTAGCCTCAAAGGACCGGAGTAGAAGCAGAAGAAATGACATCTGAGTGACACCTGGACAGATCAGCTAAGTAGGAGACAAGGGAGGGGAGTCCAAGGCTTGGAGGTGGGAGAGTATTTGGCAGGGATGAAACTGGGTGAGGTTGCAGCTGGGAAGTGGAGCAAGGGCTGGGGCTTAAAGTACTGCTCAGGGGTTCAGGGTTTATCCTGAGGCGAAGCAAAGCATTACGTGGTTTAAATGAGGCGGGCATGAGCAGATTTAGCATTTAAACACTTGGGCTCCTGGGGAAGGATTAAGGAGAACAAGACTGGACAGGCAGGCAGACCATGTAGAGAGCTGTTACAGTCAGACAGCTCCACGGTGGTCTGCACCCAGACTGACGAGGCTGGAGCAATGTTAGGGTTATAAGAGCAAGAGGATTTAGTTACAGAATAAATCTTGACACCCTGAACCTGACAGCTCTTCGAGCATCTACGGAGGATTGTGTCTGAACGCACTTGGAAACAGCTGCCGAGCAAACAGCAGGGACCCCTGTTCTCTGCTTCAGTGCAGGAAGGAAAGAGATGTCAGTGGTGCTGAGTGGTGGCCAGTGGAGCTAGGGTTGCTCTGGATATGAGATTGCTGCAGAGGACATGCCAGGCTGTTTACTAGGGAAAACATGAGCGAGTAGCTGCTTCCCAGCATCGACCAAACCACAAAACAAAGGAGCAGGTATCTGGACTTTGCCCACAGTCAGCTCTGTGGAAATGCTGTTGGTGCAGTAGTGCATTAGGTACAATGACAGTAAGGCTCATTTTTCAAGAAGAGGATGAGGGTGTTTTCTGAAAAAATGGTGACCCCCTGTAGACCCTCTTGGCTCTGATGCTGTTCACAAATAGAAATTACAAAAGTGACCTTCCAACTTCCAGTTGTGATCTGGCTACTAGGATGGTTCACTTGGTATTTGGGTGAGGCAGTAGGTTCTGAAGGGAGAAGGGTGTCTCAGCCTAACCCTTAGAGACAGAATGATATAACTGGGACAAGGTCTAATATGCCAGTGACCAGATATCTGGGTCATCTCTATAGAACCCACTATGCCCAAGAGACCTGTAGGTATTTGGTGGCACAAAAGGGCCAGAGCCTTTTGAATAAATATGTTTGTGACATACCTTGGCCCCATTCCAAGCAGCCAGTTTCATCAGGGAATGCATCAGGAAAAATGAGGGGGTGGGGGAAGTGCCACAATTTGGCTAGAGAAAACCCTGACCCACAGAGATCCGGCCAGTGTGAATGAGTAGTCTTGAAATAGCAAAGGGTGCTATGTAGTCATGTCCTTGGTTCACAGAGGCAGGGCACCGAAGGTAAGTGTGGATCAGTTGGCAGAGAAAGGTGACAAGCAGATAAAAAAAACTGTAACAGCAAAAGCATGCTCCTTTTGTAGAATTTAGAAAACAGATTAAAGAGGAAATGTGTCTGATCCTAGAGAATATGGCTTTGTTGTGGTTATTGTTGACTGATTTTGCAGTCCTGGAGACAGCCCAGTGCATTGTGAATGCTAGGCAAGCATCTGCTACTGAAATACATCCCATTTCTTGTTTGTGATAGGTCTCACTTTGTAGCCCAGGCTGGCCTCAAACTCAATATCCTCCTGCCTCAGCCTTCCCAGTGCTCAGAATATAGGCATGTACCAGCAACCTAGACTAGAATATAATGCTTTTATGTCATTTTTCAATGTGTAAGTTTATATTTGTGTGTGTGTGTGTGTGTGTGTGTGTGTGTGTGTGTGTTAATGGGGCTTGAACCAGGCCCTTTTGCATACGAGGCAAACCACAAATAATCTCTATTCATCTTCAAAAGTGAGAGTTCCCTGTAACCAACTTCTTTTGTAGAATAGAATATAGTATCCATTTTTCCACATCATTAAATGTCTTTCTACCACCTCAATATAAATGGTCACACAACACCCTGCTATATAAACACATAAGTCCCATCTGTCCTCTGGTGTTCTCTTATGAGCAGAGGAGAATCGCTAGATATAAGGAGAAGGATTGGAGTGGCGTAACAGCTTGAATAGACTCTGCCCGGAGACCACAGCATAGGTCAGATGGTGGAGGTGAGTGAAGCTGGGCCACAGGAGTGTCAGGGCCAGGGGGTTCCTGGAAGCCATCTCGCTCTGCTCCTCAGCAGGAGCTTTATCGGGCTGCCCTTGTGTTCGGGAGCTTGCTGCTGCGTGAGGCCATCAGCAGTGCCAAAGCTCCTTCTACTACAAAGCCCCCGGTCTCCTGCTTCTACTCGGGTATCCTGTCACTTGCCTGTTCTTGTTGCCTTTGGAATAAAAGTCAAATTCTTTATTGTGGTCGATAGGATTTTACATAATTTGGCTCAGCCCCTCTAACCCCATCCTGCCTCCAGAAGGTGAGGCACTGGCACAAACTACAGTTTCTTCAAAGCCTGAAGCTCCTCCTGGGTCTGTGTTCATTACTCTCAAAGTCTCGAAGGGCAGTCCGTGTACACTCAGAACCGCCACCCAGCCGCTACTGAGACTCTCAGAAACGCCACTCAGCCGCTGCTGAGGCTGGATGTGCAATGCTGTGTTAGATTGGTGGACAGAGATAGAGTCTTGGGAGTTCCACACAGTGGTCCACACATAGAGCCCCATGAACAACCTGGAAACCACCCCCCCATCAGCACCCTTACCGCCCACATTCATATCACACACTCAAGACAGTTTCTTTAGAAATAGAGGTATTTAAGTCTCCCTGTAATTTCCGCCTCCCATGGCTGCTTCTGCCTGCCGGGGCAGCACAGAAGTTTGCTAATCCGCTCTCCTCTCTGACAGCCCTTCTAAAATATCAAGATAGCTGTCACATCATCCAGGGAGGGTCAGGGCAGAGTCTGGAAGTTGTTTAGAGGAGCTTGGACTTTGCAACTAATCGGTACAGGGAAGGACTTGACTGAGGACTTGTATGAACCCAGACACGGCAGCCTGGAAGCAGGGACTCAAGCTGAGGGCATCTAGCCATCACCTAGACAGCGATGAAGCAGGAAGATGGTCACAGGGTTATGGCTACACTCAGACGGGAAGCTGTGCCGGGTGTGTCAGGTGGACAGGTCCCAAGACAGTGTCGTAGTCATATGACTTTCTGCAGCCAGACTTCGGCCTACTTGACTGTGGAATAGTTGTGGTCAGACACCAAGATTTAGGAGTGGAAATGCTGCTGTTGCCCTAAGGATGAACCATTTCCCCTTGCAGCCAGGGACTGAGTAGAAAAGGGCTCGGCAGCAGACACAGGGCCTGTGGAGTAGTCAGTGCTGCGTGTCACCGTTGTGCCCACATGAAGCCGTGGTCTCCCTTTATTCAAAAGCTAATCAAAGTGGCGTCACTTAGAAAATGATGCAGCCCAAGTAGAAATATAAACACTTAAGTGAAGGGAGTGCAGGGACGGGAAAGACTCGGTGGCCGCCAGTGTGTCAGGTGCAGAGACAGAGGACTGCTGGACAGCTTCCGAATTTTGGAGACATCATTTTTTTTCTTTCTTTTTCTCCTTTTCTTTTCCTTTTCTTCCCCTTTCTTTCTTCCTTCCTTCCTTCCTTTTTTTTTTTTTTTTTTTTTTTTGAGACAGTTTCTCTGTGTAGCCTAGACTGTCCTGGAACTCACTCTGTAGACCAGGCTGGTCTCAGACTCCAGAGATCTACCTGCCTCTGCCTCCTGAGTGCCACCAATCCCCAGCAAAGACAGCAGATTTTCTTGGGGAATAATAACATAGTCATAAGTGTGTGATTGACGGTATCTGCAGTATGAATGTAGAACTCAACTGTACAGAGATGATCACTAAACCATACAGTATTTTTTGTCGTGTTCTTTGTTTTTTCAAAGCAGAGTTACTCTGTGTAACAGTCCTAGCTGCCCTGGAACTCACTATGTAAACCAGGCTGACCTCAAACTCATAGAGATTGACCTGCCTCTGCCTCCTGAGTGCTGAAATTAAAGGAAAACTAGCCCTCCTATTTAAGCCCCTTCACTTCCCAGTGTCTT